CCTTTGTTTTCACTAAGGAGTATTCATCTAACCGCTTAATCAAAATGACATCCGACCATCTCTTCAACATCGTAAAATACCCTCGGGACAATTCACAACTATGTCAAGAGGTTCAAAGTAGAGAAGGCCAAGATTGTTGGCTGTAACGAAGACATAGCAACGGCAACATTCCGAAATGGGCTTCCCACCGAACATCCTTTATTCAAAAAATTGATCATAGGAGAAGAATTGACCCTAGCAGCTTCGTATGCTTTGGCAAAAAAGCATGCATTATAGGACGAGGCCAAGCAGTCTAACAAACACGAGTCGGAAAAGAAGCACATGGAACGTTCCCCGACCAGAGAAGACTCAGCGCTTGAAACATTCACCAAGTTCACAGTTCCAATCAGCCAAATTCTCCGCAAGCTCAAGAATGAACCTTGGTTCGAACTGCCGCCACCCATGAAAGGCGATCTTACCAGGCTGGATCATACAAAATATTACGCATTCCATCAAAGACCAGGCCACACTACCAATGGTTGCCTGAAGTGGAAGCAGTACCTTGAGAAGTTGACAAATGAGGGCCAATGCGACGAGTATCTTCACATGTCAACAAAACGGCCTACACAAGCAGGGGAAGTTCCCATCACCTCCTGAACCACATTTGGATTTTTTCCAAATAAGTTCGAAGACTCAAGCAGCTCGACGAACAAAGCTTCACAAGTCAAAGAATATCCAGTTTGTTATGCAGTTTCTAGCTTCCAGCACAGTTGATTTATTTCTTTATTCTCAATGAAGATTCAAGAAGTTATTCATAAATCTAGCTTAACTGCTGTCCACAACAACTGCTCAAAACCCTTTCTGGGTCTACTCTCTAGTGCGAGAGGATAAACTAATTGCTCTCCAGTGCGAGAGGGTAAACCAATTCCCCGACACCCATATGGGTAAGCTCTCCAGTGCGAAAGGATAAACTAATTGCTATAAACTAATTGCTCTCCAGTGCGAGAGGGTAAACCAATTCCTCGACACCCATATGGGTAAGCTCTCCAGTGCGAAATGATAAACTAATTGCTCTCTAGTGCGAGAGGGTAAACTAATTTCCCAACACCTACCTAGGTAAGCTTTCTAATACGAGAATGTCACATAGTTTAAGAGATCAAATGCTTGAAGATCAACTAGGCAACAACCACTTTTGCACTTAATAGTTCGTTTATCAAACACTTCATCTTCGGCAGCTCCGATCTTGACAGCTTTATCCTTGACTGCTCCATCTACGACAGCAAAGAAATCAAACTCAAGCAGTTTCATCATTTTGGGCAAGCAGCCTAGACATGGCAGCCCAAACTGTTGCCCATGCCACGCCACTTCCTCGGGCCCATGCCGAGCCAACCTTTGGCTTCAATCAAGCCGAGCAGTGCAAGCAATGACCCATGTCAACCACTTCCTAGGCCCATGCCAAACTAAATCCTGGCCCTTGCCAGCCGACGTGCCGCATCACCTCGACGACTGCCCCGTGGCAGCACCACCCAAGAAGAAGACAAGAAGAATTAAGTTTTTTTTGCATCGGTGTGGCCCAGAGAAGACAAAGAAAGCAACAAAAGACGATCATTTGCACGGGCAAGAAGTAGAAGATTGCTAGAGGAGGGGGAACAAATATCCTCTAAGCTCTCTCTCTTGTAGGGTAGAATAAATCACTCTCCAAAGTTGATTTAATAACCCACTTAAGGTGGACTTAAGTAAGCTTTGAGAGAAATTTATTTCCCTTTCCTAGAAAGATCTAATTTCATATTAAAAAGGGAATCTACATCAAAACAAGAAGCAGTCCTAAGTTTCCTAAAGCAAGAAGATCTTTACACCTGCTGCCCTTTCTTACGAGCATCCATGTAGGTGTGGGGGCATTTGTGGAGCCAAAAATAATCACAAGGCGGCACGTGGATTTTTGGGTAAAGATGACAAATTTACCCTCGAGGCACAACTGGTCTCCTACACGTGAGCAATGGAAAATCATCCATCAACCAAATCAGGAGTACCCAGAATAGGTAACAATTCAAAATCTATTTCATTCCATATATATTTTTACCTCATTTTTTCCTTATTCAATTAGCCATTTATTTCAAACATTCCATAACCTTCAAAAACATTTCATAACATCCCTTTTTATTATGATTAATCAGCCAATTAATATATTTATACCTAATCAATATATTAAAGGCTAATTACATCACCAAACTAAGCCCAAAAATTACCCTAAAGGCCGATTATCCCTTCTCCAAAGGGAGCCGGCCATTTCCTGCTTTTTTCCACCATAATTTTCCTTTTTTGTGACATTGATTAGCCAAGTATACAAAAACTCCCAAAAACATTTCTTTAATTAGTCAATTAATATATTTATTTCTAATTAATATATTAATGGACTAATTAAATCCACAAATGACACCCAAATTTGATCCAAAGGCTGGCCATATCCTATATATACCACCCATTTTTCTCACAAAAGATGATTCCAATCCTCTTGCAAAAAAACCTAAATACTCTAAACATTCTTTCTCTCTAAAATTCTAACTTTGGCATCGGAGGTTCTTCAGCCAAAGCCCCTACATTCATCGTGGGCGCGTGAGGCTTTTGGCTTTAACCTAAGGTGCTAATTGTTTTGTAGGTGCAAAATCGTCTAAGATCGAGGAGGAGAAAATTTGCATCCACAACTAGCACGAGACGTTATATGGTTGTAAACTCAATGAACATCTAGGATAAAAAAATTTGGATTACAACTTAAATTTACCAAGATTAATATAAATTATTTCATTGGCACGAGATGTCACATGGTTGTAAACTCGTATAATGTAAGTTGTTTTTGTCGAGCTCAAGTGCAGCTGAAATACTTGAACATTGAGCCCCTTGAGAAAATATTTTAGAGCAATGCTTGGCTCATCAAGATTGAGGAGTTCCTCCTCGATTCACTTAGTAGACGATTTACAAAACTTCGTATTTATAATCGAAATAATTCATATTATAAATATTTATGTAAAAATCATCTTTACAAATTACCAATTAAATTTGAGATTGTTTAGCCAATCTATTGTAACTAATAAATAAACGCCTCTTAATTTTTTTACCGTATATGTTTATTTGTTTGTATACAGTTCGTTGACTAAACAAGCTCATATTTTACTAATACTTTCGATTAATGATATTTAAAAAGTGATTTATAATATGAACGATTTTGATCATAAGCATAAAGTTTCGTAAATCAACCTAAACTTGAGGAAGAACTTATCCTCATCCATTGAAGAACCAATTTTATTCTTAACATTTTAACTGGTTAACCTACAAGCCGAGTTCTAGAGAATGAATCACCCCTAAAATCTTTCTTCTCTTTTCATCGAATAAAATAAAATAAAAGATACTCATAAGACATAATTTTAGCAGAAAAACTTAAAAAATCAAATGAGAATACGGAATTTACGGAATTCACCTCTCAACTCAAATGAGAATACGGAATTCACCTCTCAACTCAAATTACTATTCTTTTCAAGCAGAAATAGCGAGGCAATGATTATGTTAACGAAGTAGCAAATCTACCATGTGACACGCTTGAAGCAACCCATCGGTCCCATCCCCTTCCAACTGGCGTTTTTCTATATATAAAATTCCACTTGTGCTGATATAACAAGTTTGTCATCCATTACTATATAAAGCTCAACAGTAAAAGCCATAAGCACTTCCAAAAGGTCCAAAAAGCCACCCACTTCCTTCATAGGATACGCAGTGAATTAAAAAGGTTGCCATTAAAACCCTAGATGCATGTGTAAAATATATATACTAGTTGTTACTTATGTTTCAAGTTTAATTAGGTTGGAAGCAAAATACCAACTGGTGAAAGCAAAATACCAATTGCTTTTCTTAGAAGCGAAACAATAACAAGGAATTGTTTGCGCAACTTCTGCTCTACCTCTACAGTTCATAAGTTGAGACATCTATTTTTTACTATTTCATATGAAGTTATGCTTGTTTTAAGACCACTCCAAAGGACGACTTTGAAGAAACTATCAGAATTCCTTCACAATGCCAAATTTGTTATAGAAAAAAAAATATTTGAGTAGATATAGTACATGAATCATTTGAGTCACTGAATCTAGTTGGATAACTTAAGATATTAGATGGGTGAAGTGGCCAAACTCAATCAAAGGACGCATGAATGGCCAACAATAGTTAGGAGAAATGGTCACTAAAAAGCTGCGTTAGTCTCTTATTGTAAAGTTAGTGATGGTATAAAAGTGTATATACATTTGTGCATAGCGGTGGCTAAAGCAGAAGGAAGCAAAGTATTCGAACTTGGTGAGGAAGAACGTTGCAAGTCTATAGTTTGAACAAGGTACTATAATTATACGTGATCTCATGACCTATCATTCAGGCTTAAAACGTGTCTTAGTATAAAACATTACAAATGAATATACGAGGCACTTCACTTTTCCATACATGAGTGACATAGGACTCATTACCACTTATGATCACCACTTAATCTCTCAACTTTCATGCTCCATACTTAATTTTGTTCTTTTTACAATAATTCTGATAAGCTCATTGCTAGATGACTAATGATAATAAGACCATATTTAGCACCATATGTGAAATATGAAGATTTAAAATAACTAAAAACACTTCTTACTATATTTGGCAGAAAAAGTTAAAAGTACTTTTCGGTTAAAAATGCACTTGAAATGTTTTATGGAAGAATCACCAATTGTGTGTTTATTTCAAAAAACACTTCAAATGCTATTTCAAAAAGCACTAAAAATATTTCTTAGCAGCACAAGTGCCTTTTAAAAAAGCAGTTTCAAACTAGGTTATATGAAAATATATAATGGAATGTCATTACATTGCATTGAAAATTAATTTTTTGTATTACCTTGCATAGAAAACTATTGATTTGGTAGAAAAAAATGATACTTAATTCTTAATTCTAATTTTGTATAAAGCTAAAAAACTAATAAACAAAGGCAGGGGCCAGACCCGAAGCATTGGGGTGCGATAAAACAGCCAAGACCTGCTTGGCGTTTCTCTCCAGTTGAACTCCTCTTGACTTCAGCTATTTCTTGCTCCAAGCTCTCTCTCTCTCTCCCCTCTCTCTCCCCCCCTCATCCTTTCCTTCAAAACTCACACATTATTTCTGTAAATTTGTCTGTTTTTTAGCTTTTGGTTGCTGTTACGATCTACCAAATACACCACTACATTTTATGTTTTCTCCCCATACTGCTGTCTGCGTCCGCCATTAAAATACATAAAGAAAGAGGAAAAAAGAAGACAAATTTCGCAAATTCGAGAGAAGCCCAGTATTTTCTTCGCCCTCTTGTTCTTGAACCCCCGACCCAATAGATCCGCCATGCTCAGCCTGCGGCCTCGCCGCGATTCCACTCCGTATACTACCAAATGGCAGAACAAGGTAATGTGTTTCACTCTCGGTCTTTGTTTTATCTACCCTTTTGTTTATTTGGGTTAAAAGATTCCAAGAATTATAATTTAGAAAATGCAGTTAATTGTATTGTTTTTTTGAGTATTTTGTTTACTGGCAAAGCAATGTAATGTGGGTGTATGTTTGTATGAGTTTGATTTTTGAGGGTAAGACTTAAAAATGGCTACTTTTTTATTGTTTGGTGAATTGGGTTTTTGTAGTTTGAGGAGAATTTGGAGCAGTGGCCACATCTGAAGGAGTTGGTGCAGTGCTATACAACTGACTGGGTGAAGGATGACAACAAGTATGGTCACTACGAGAGTGTTGGACCGCCCTCATTCCAGAACCAGATTTATGAGGGTCCTGACACTGACATTGAAACCGGTATACAGCACCCTTCTTTTGGTCTTTTAGTCTTTTGCTTACTCGAGCATGCTGAAATGGGGGTGCATTTGGGTTTTTGTATCAGAAGGGTTTAAAGTTTTTAGATTATATCTCTGGAAACTTTCCTAATTGGGCACCATGCTCCCTTTTCGTTAAACGATTGAAACCCTTTTTGCAAAAGTATAGAATTGGTGTAAATTTGTACATTACCAATATCTGGTTGAAGCCCATTTTCCTAGAGTGCTTAAGTAATGATAAAAGTTTGATTCTTTCTCCTGTATTTCTTATTTTATCTACCTGGTTCAAATGGCAATATTAAGTTAAAACCATAGAATTCTTCTAATTTGGTTTTTTGGAATAGGATATATAGTTTTGTGAAATATTTAAAGGTAGTGAAAGATTTAGGGAGTACATGTTGTTCTGAATTTGTCCCGGCTGGAGTGGGTGTCAGTCTAGCGCAAGAGTGGTGTAATCCAAGTATTAGAACTGATTATTTGATTGGCCGCCTGTTAGATGCTAAGCGTTTGAGAATAACAAGTTAAATTGCAGTAGATTTGAGGGAACCCTGCTGAACTGTTTTTTTGCAATCTACTACTTGGTAGAGTTCTTGATATATATTGAATCTATTTGCAGAGATGCATCTTGCAAGTGCAAGGCGAACCAAGGTGGAAGATACTACTGATGATGATGTCCCCAGTACCTCGGGAAGACAATTCACAGAGGCTACTGTATCTGATTCAGTACAGTCCAATGATCCAAAGGTTGTACTGGTTTGAGGATAGGTTTATACATTCAACATAAGTTTAACTTTGTTCAGTACCTTGCTTTTTTAATCAATGAGCCACCTGCCCCTTTCTAGTGTTAATTCTCTTAAATGTGGTACTGTATATGCAGCATTTTGGTCAATCTCCCCTTCCTGCCTATGAACCAGCATTTGATTGGGAAAATGAAAGGTCAATGATATTCGGACAAAGGATTCCAGAAACTCCAATATCTCAGTATGGAAGTTCTACAAATCTTTTTGTTGACTAGAAGTTTGTTTCTGCTTTTCTGGTTCTTTGTCCCCGTGTTTATTAATTGTCTTTTTCTCTATTCATTTGGGCTGTCTCAGTGGATTGAAGATCTCAGTGAAGGTTCTTTCCCTATCATTTCAAGCGGGATTAGCTGGTGAGTGATGTGCCCTTTGTACTGGTGCGGTATTATTGGTGCTCACTTTGTACCACTGCTATTGTAATGTTGAGATGTTTCAAGATTTCTGACTTTGTTCTCTCTCTCTCTCACTCTCTCTCTCTTGCCCTCTCCTTCCTCCCTCCCTCCCTCTCTCATGTAGAGCCATTTTATGGTACAATGTGCTTATACAATAGGGAGAGAAGAGAAAAATTGTCAGAGGACTTTTATTTTCGTCATGCACCAACTGAAAGGCAGGATGTAAGCTAAAAGATCAATTTAACTTTTTTCCCTGTCAATTTTATTGCTTTTTCTTTACTTATTATTTTTAGGAGTTAATTTTTGGGATATATTTATGACTAACAAATTTACTATTGCCTCTGTCATTTTTTTGCTGAAGATTTCTATTGAACCTCGCGGAATCTTCTATTTAGATGCTCCATCATCATCAGTTTGTCTGCTAATCCAGTTAGAGAAGCATGCCACAGAAGAAGGCGGGGTTGCACCTTCAGTTTATTCACGCAAAGAACCAGTATGTTGAAATATATATGTTACTCGATTCTTAAAAACTGTATGGCATGAAAAAATAAATTTAAAAATTGCTAAGTTTTCTGTTTTGTATAAAATCTTTGTTCACTCTACCTGAACAGGTACACTTGACTGAGAAAGAAAAGCAAAAACTGCAGGTGTGGTCTCAAATAATGCCTTACAGAGAGTCCTTCGCCTGGGCTATTGTTTCATTATTTGATAACAGCATTGGTGCAGCTTCTGGTGGGTCTGCTTCCCCAAGCAGTCCTCTTGCTCCTAGTATATCTGGTACAAGTTCTCATGATGGTGTGTTTGAGCCTAGTGCAAAGGTCACATTAGATGGGAAGCTAGGTTATTCAAGTCGAAGCTCTGTTGTTGTCGAAATATCAAACTTAAATAAAGTTAAAGAATGCTATACTGAAGACTCACTTCAGGTATGCAGAAATCCTCTCGTATGAATATTTAATACCTCTGTGGTATTTATTAAATGTTCCTGCACATGTATTCACTTTGTAGGCATGAATTTTTCTTGTCTGCATTTCCTATTTCCCCCAAATTATGTAGTACCTACTGACGGACAGTTTCTGACTTTTGGAGCTTTCATTAGATGCCTGTTGTTCAGATTATGATGGTTTGTTTTTCCTGACAATTTTAGGATCCCAAACGCAAGATTCATAAACCTGTGAAAGGTGTTTTGAGGCTGGAAATCGAGAAGCACCAGAATGACACTGTTGACTTGGAAAATGTATCAGAAAGTGGTAGTGTTACCAATGATTCTATTGATGACCGCATTACCGATTCCACATTTGGGAAGCTCCCAAGTAATGGTTTGGATGGTCCTCAGGGTAGCAGCTCTAAGTGGAATTCTTCTGACACCAAAGAAATATCTGGAAATGGACCAAATGCTTCAATTCCTAGTACTGATGATGTAAGTATACGCATCATAATGCTTTCTGTCTTGAACTTCTTACTGCTAGTCATTATTTTTCTGCACAAATGGTTTTAAAAATATGACACCCCTACATCAGGCTCTTTCTTCTTTCCGATTGTCAGCTGAGAGGCAGCTGTTTCTTAGTTTTTTATTTTTATTTTTTATTTTTTAGGTTTCTGTTTATGTGTGTAATTTGTTAGGGGTTGAGTTGTTTAGCTTTCACTGTGGCTGTAATATTTGAGTCAGATGATCTGTATTGCTGTTCTAGTTGGCTGTAATAGACGGTCACACACACATTTGGAACACGCACGCAAGCGCGTACACACACACACACACACACACACACACACACACACACACACACACACACACACACACACACATATATATATATATATTCATATTTGTATAATAATATTTGTGACATATGGAAGGATGTGTTCAGAAACATCTATTCCAATGAATAGTTTTATCAATTTTGACTATGTTTTTTAATTTTACATGTCTGATATACTAAGTGTTTTGCTTTGATTAACTTCCAGTTTCAAGCTTTCGACTTCCGTACGACAACAAGAAATGAGCCTTTCTTGCAGCTTTTTCATTGCCTATATGTATATCCCATGACTGTTAGTTTGAGTCGGAAGAGGAATTTGTTCATAAGAGTTGAACTGCGGGAGGATGATAATGATATTCGTAGACAGCCTTTGGAGGTAATTATGCCTTGATTATTCTGATTTAAGCTGTTCACTGTTCTGAATTTTCCCTTACGTGTATGTTTTGTACAACTGATTTGACCAGGCAATGTATCCAAGGGAACCAGGTGCATCACTACAGAAGTGGGCTCAAACACAAGTGACTGTTGGGGCTAGGGTGGCCTGCTACCATGATGAGATCAAACTCTCCCTCCCTGCTACCTGGACACCAACACATCATCTTTTATTTACTTTCTTTCATGTAGATCTTCAAACAAAATTGGAAGCTCCAAAGCCTGTAAGTTCATTTTTTAAGCTTTATTTCTCTGAAGGACTAGCTGGTTTTGCCTTGTTGCTTTAGTTTTATCTTATTCACTTCATTAAAATGATTACTCCATCCATTCACTTTTCAGGTAGTAATTGGATACGCGGCACTTCCATTATCCACGCATGCTCAGTATGTATTTGCCTTCAACCTGATCTTTCTTCCTCTTTTGTTCTTAAACTGAATGAAACTCAGCACAATTTTTGGTCATGTGGTTGCTCGCTTAATATATTGTTTGGTTATTCCTTTGAAACTAATCTTTATCCAATGTAGTAGTTTAAATAGTTTGAGAGTTTATACCAGTGTTACAAATGCCTGCTTCTATGGTAGTTAAAGATGCTTTTGTCAAAGCAACTGTATAACTTGTATCTAAGAGCATGCCTTTAGTTTGGATAAATGATGCAAATACAGTACTGTAATTATTTCTGTTGAGTTTCAATGCTAATAATGGACTATGCAAACAAATTTTCCCAATTAAACAAGGGTGGTGCTATCCACACACCTATTGTTACCTCTTACACTCCCCTCTCAATTTCTGGTTGTTGGATCGAATGAATTGTAAAAGATCAACGGACAAAAATTAACAAGGGTATGTGAGAAGTAAAATGGGTGGATGAATAGCACTACTCATAACAATATCATGTTTTCACCATTCCTGTTTGTTACATCAATTAACTGCAAATTTAAAATTGTGCTTTAGTTTTATTACCATCTTGCTATATGTTTTATGTTTTCATGGCCTTTAGAGTTTTGACTTTTAATGTTACCCAAAATTGATAGCATCTTAAAGCAATAATGGTTGTTTTCCAACTCAGGGTGCGCTCTGAAATTTCTTTGCCAATTATGAGAGAGCTGGTTCCACATTATCTCCAGGATATGGGCAGAGTATGTTTGCAATTCATAATGAGTTTATAAGTTGTTTACTTTCTACTAGTGAAAGTATATAAAATATTTGAGTCTTTTCGTTTTATTCATTTTCAATTTTATTTGTATACTACTTTAGAGTTAACCTCAGTTTATCTTAGAAGGGATATAACGGTGGAAATCTCAGATTTTTCTTGACAAGTATATTAACATTTTATTTCTCGGTTATTTTGCATGCCCCATTCATTGATGTTTTTAAGCCATTACCCTGTATGCTGTGCCGTTATCCTGTATATCAAAACCATTTTTTCTAGTCTCATAAATACAAACAGCTTTCTAATCTTGTAGTTGGTAGGAAGCTTTTAAGCATTTATGTGCCCACTTCGTTTTCTTAAACTGACAATTCCACTCCCCTTCCCCGTAACCAGGAGAGGTTGGATTATTTGGAAGATGGAAAGAATATCTTTCGATTGCGCTTAAGACTATGTTCGTCGCTGTATCCTATCAATGAGCGCATAAGAGATTTTTTTCTTGAATACGATAGGCACACTCTTCGAACAAGTGCACCTTGGGGTTCTGAACTTCTGGAGGTATTTTTCCTTTTAATTGTTTATTTCAAATCCATTTGTCCTGTTTTATTTTATTTTATGGTAGTGAAGATTCCATTATTCAGTTATCATAGAAATTCGACAATACATGGTACTGATTTTTCCCTTTAGGTTCACAATATATAAATAAAAAAACTCTCAATATACCGCTAACATTTGGTTGGTATTATCTGAGTGTTGGGCGTGCAACAGTTAGTGTAGTTTTTTGCTTTTTTGTATGTACTTTTTCCGCCTGGGCTCTGTGGTTAACCGGCTCTATTTGAAGAAGTGATTCAAGTGTATGATGGCTTGGCATGCAGGCTATTAACAGTTTGAAGAATGTTGATTCCGTTGCTTTGCTTCAGTTTCTACATCCAATTTTGAATATGCTTCTCCATCTAATAGGAAACGGTGGAGAAACCCTCCAGGTAGTACTGATTTTTATTGTTAGTTGTTCCTGTGGCTCCACTTGTTGTCCTTATTTTCTTGAATTAGTGTTCGTTAATTCCTTTGGTAACTTTTCAAGATTATCTGATAATCATCCTTCTACTGACTAGTTTCTGCCCTTCTGATTCTACTGCTGCTTTCAGGTTGCAGCTTTCAGAGCCATGGTTAATATCGTCACCCGGTGTGTTGTTTAGCTGTGATTAATGATTTTTGCTATTTCAGAATTGTTATTTATATCATAGTTCAGAATCAGAAGTGAAATTATTAATTATAAAAAATTAACTATTTATTTTTTGAAACTTTTCTTGTTTGTCTCTTCCATAACTAACTTTGTTATCATGATATTATGTAATTGTATTTCTTAGGTATGCATTAACTTTGCAATATGGTGTGGTGAAAGCTATACTTTATAGAAAATTCTTCATGTATTACTTTTTTATTTATCTTTTTGCTTCTGGAAAAATCCTTTTGGCTATGGTTTATTTAGTGTGGATGTGTGTTTTCTTTGAAACATGTTTCCAACCATTGTTGTGCAATATTTTAACAGGTTGTCCTGTGTTTATGGTGTTGTAAGGTGTTTTGTTTAGTATTCTTTTGTTTTTCCTTCTTGTTTTGTTGGCTGAAAAAAGAAAGAAAATAAATATGGCTAAAATAATACAGAAAACATTGAATTAGCGAATGATGTTGGGTTTTCCTATTTGGAAACCTAAAATTGATCGGTCGTGTTTTGGGTTAGGGTTCACAGAACACAACCAAGACATGCTTAAAATTTAGACATGTAAGTCCTGTGCCGTACATGTAGACATTGGCCCTTTGGTGTAAAATTTGTGCTCTGGACCAGCCTTAGCACTTCCACTTATTTACTTATTGCATTAATTTCTGATAGCCTTTTGAATTTTAGTTTGACATGTGTGAAATGACTTCTATAGGGTGCAGCAAGAGTCGGTTGATGATGCTGAGAGAAATCATTTCCTAGTTAATTATGTTGATTACGCTTTTGATGACTTTGGGGGTCGTCAACCACCAGTTTATCCTGGTTTGTCAACTGTTTGGGGGAGTTTGGCTCGTAGTAAGGTATGCCTGTCCTGCTGGTGATTTTCATCTGCCAATTATATTAAAATGTGGTTTTCTTGATCACCACATTGGGTTTTGAGGTTTCCTACCAATTTGGTTGAGAATTCTGCTTTTGGTGAACTATGCTTGTGCTGATTCTTAATGCTTTCACCTTAAATTCTGTGGTGACTGCAAGATAGGGTTCATGATTCTCATCATTAGTATTTGCCAACAGCTCCGTTTAACTTTATGAATTCATTGTGCAGGCTAAAGGATATCGTGTTGGACCTGTGTATGATGATGTTTTGGCAATGGCCTGGTTTTTCCTTGAGCTAATTGTCAAGTCAATGGCATTGGAGAAGATGCGTCTTTTCTATCATAATATTCCTTTAGGTATATTTCACTTTGAGGAAATTTACTACTTACATATCCTCTGGTTGCTATTTTAATTATATATTTGGGAGTGTTCCCAATAAACAGCACAGCTATTCTCACCTCATACACAACTTTCTAGTGACCAGACATAACATACCAGTAATTACATGTAGAAAATCAAAATTTCAGCAGTTAGATTTCTGTCTAGCAACCATTGTACATGTTGGCAATATCATGTAAATAAATGGCCGGTAAACCAATGGAGAGAATATATTGAAGCACGCAGATGATGTATTTGGTGGACCCAGAATTTATTAGCTTTCAGTGAAAATTCACTAATCATGCATACAATTGAATTTTCTCTCACACACAAATGTTCACAATCATTGTTTCTTTGTTCTTAGAGCTTTAAGGTTGTTAAAGTCTAGGTTAGACATACTTACATTAAATGATTCAACGATCATTCAAATAGGATGGTATATTTTGGCAATTTTGTTTTCATTTATAGAACGGTTTTCCTAGATGGCTTTCTTATCCTAGCTTATTGGATTTTTCTGTACAGTTTAAACTTCATGCCAATTGCAGATTGTTCTGGCAGATTTTGTTTTTATCTCTGAATTTCACAGTTAGCATTTCTGGAATTTTCTGGAATTTTCTTGAATCTCCTGAATTTAGTTTTTATCTCTAACAGATGCTTTTGAAGCGATTTAACTCTCGTTTTGTACCTGGGTTTGAGATTACCCTGTTATTTTGACATGTATTTCCAGAGAAATTCCTCTTTTCTTGAATCTTCTTCAGGTTCCTTTGGTATAATATATATATATATATATATATTTTTTTTTTGCAGGTGAAGATATTCCGCCTATGCAATTGAAAGAAGGTGTATTCAGATGTATAATGCAGTTGTATGATTGCCTACTAACTGAAGTGCATGAACGTTGTAAGAAGGGATTAAGCTTAGCAAAGCGTTTAAACAGCAGTTTAGCTTTCTTTTGTTATGACCTCTTGTCCATCATTGAACCTCGCCAAGTTTTTGAATTGGTATGCCTTCTGCTTAACTTTCATTGTTCAGAACTTAGGGCTGAGCTAGGGTGTTATATCAAAGGTGCATAGCCTTGGTAAATATTTTGTTCAAGTTTTCAATCAAATATTTCTCCTATCCTTTCATTGTGTGTAGAATGTAGATATATTTCTTTTGTGGTTTCCATTAGTGCTACTAGAGCAGAGGGGAGTCCAGAGAGACATATGTACAACGAAATAACGTAATGAAAATTTTGAGTTAACAAATACTGCTCTAGATGAATCATGTATGCAGGTGTCCTTGTACCTGCACAAGTTTTCTGGGGTTTAAAATGAGATTGAAAGAGCCAACCTAAGGATTAGGTTTCACATTTATTTAACCTTCCCGGTTGCCAATATGTAGTTTCTATTCACTTTATGGGTCTCTTTAATGTGCTGTAGGTGTCCTTGTACCTGGACAAGTTTTCTGGGGTTTGCCAACTGGTTCTGCATGATTGCAAGCTCACATTTCTACAAATTATATGCGATCACGACCTTTTTGTGGAAATGCCTGGGAGAGACCCTTCTGATAGGTAACTTATCCTTTAATATCCTTTTTTGTTATCTCACCCTCTTACTGTTAACAGTGGAAACCACTGATGAACTATTGAAAAAGAGAAGTATGTCTTCTATCATAATTTACGCACCCGCACCCAAAGATTTACCAATTTGATGAATTCATTGGATTACTAGTTCATATTTTGTTTAATTACTTCAAACAGTTTTGTATCCTGTCTTTACAAACTATACACTGTACTCATTCCACATGGGGATGGAGTAGGTTTGTTCCCTTCACTATCCTGATCCCTCTCCTTGGAAGTTGTTCTAATAAGAAAGGAAAGATTTATTTTATCTCTTTGATTATGCATTTGAATGCAGATATTTCTGAATGAAATCCTCTATTATTTGCTCAAGACTTTGGTTACTTGTATAAGAAGCTTTGAGTATTGTTTAGTGTGTCTTGATGAAGTGAATGCTATGTCATAGGAATTACCTTTCGTCTGTTTTAATACAAGAGCTATTTCTTACGTGGGATCATGACGATTTGTCTCTGCGAGCAAAGGTGAGTTTGTAGTCGATAGTCTTTATTTACTTATTTATTGTCATTGTTTCTTTGTTATTTAATAAGAAACAAGAGGCTTGCAGTAGAAAATCTGCATTGACATTTCTTTTATGCTTATGTTGGTGGATACATTTATACACCTCATCACCCCTCAATTTGCACAGCAATTTTTGTTAAAAAAAAAGAAAAAAAAAGTGGAAGCATGCACCACTAGGATGCATGATATGCGTAAATTTGCCAAGTTTTGAAAATCATGATGTTGTTGATAAATGTGCAAAATATGTGATGATTCTGTTCAAACTCTTTCATTTGATGTGTGTAGGCAGCTAGAATTTTGGTAGTCCTTTTGTGCAAGCATGAGTTTGATGCACGATACCAAAAGCCTGAAGATAAACTATATATAGCCCAGCTCTATTTTCCACTTATTGGACAGGTGCAGTTTTATTTTCCTTGTGCAATGTATAGTTGTTTTCTGTTACATTTTCCTCCCTCTATTGTTTATCCCTGCTAACGGGAGTCTACTTAAAATATTTGGGGTTTTGATATTGCCACAGAGATTGAACCTTGGGGGTAATGCCAATTTATTGGGGCATTTCTGGTTTTGGGGTTGCCAGAGATGGTTTCACACAGAATTCTTGGTTATGAAAAATTGAGTATTCCATAAGTAAAGATACTTTTTTACACTATAGTAGAAGTATAAATTTTATCATACGTCTCATATAGCTAACATTGATATACTATCTGTTGAAGTTTATAATTTAGATCCATTTTACAATTAATGTTTACTAATATCGTGTCAAAATATCTTCTTGTAAATCACAATAGTTGATACTTCCATCAGCATCATCCTTTGTTTCAACTTCAGTATGTATATTTTCCTACTAATAAATAATATATTCCATTGTAGCCAAATGTGGGATTCCATGGCTAGTTGTATCCGAAAAGTAGCAAAAGAGGTGTTAGGAGAGTCCAAGGGCTTTGCCCCACACCAAAAGGAATCTTGGTGGTGGAATGAGGAAGTACAAACAAAGGTGAAGGCTAAGAAGGAATGTTGTAAAGCCTTATACAAGGATAGGACCGATGAAAATGGTGAAAGGTATAGAAAAGCGAAGCAAGAGGCGAAGAAAGCTGTGAGAGAAGCTAAGTTAGCGGCTTATGACGATATGTATAAGCGACTAGATACCAAAGAAGGAGAGTTGGATATCTATAAACTAGCTAGAGCAAGGGAAAAGAAGACAAGGGACCTAAACCAAGTGAGGTGCATCAAGGATGAGGATGGAAAGGTTCTTGCTACAGAGAACGCGGTTAAAGATAGATGGAGAGGTTATTTTCATAATCTTTTCAATGAAGGACATGAAAGGAGTGCTTCTTTAGGGGAGTTGAGTAACTCAGAAGAGTGTAGAAACTACTCTTTTTATCGTCGAATCCGGAAGGAAGAAGTGGTTGTAGCTTTGAAGAAGATGAAGCATAGAAAAGCAGTAGGCCCAGACGATATACCAATCGAAGTGTGGAAAGTTTTTGGGAGAGACAGGTATAACATGGCTCACTGACCTTTTCAATAGGATTTTGAAAACGAAGAAGATGCCAAATGAGTGGCAAACGAGCACTTTGGTGCCTATCTACAAGAATAAGGGCGACGTACAAAATTGCATGAACTATAGGGGTATTAAGCTAATGAGTCATACAATGAAGCTCTGGGAGAGAGTCATTGAGCATAGATTGAGGCAAGAGACACGGGTTTCGGACAACCAATTCGGGTTCATGCCAGGGCGCTCAACCATGGAGGCAATCTATCTCTTACGAAGATTGATGGAAAGATATAGAGATGGGAAAAAGGATTTACACATGGTCTTTATAGATTGGAAAAAGCGTATGATAGGGTCCCAAGAGACATTCTTTGGAGGATTTTAGAGAAGAAAGGAGTACGAGTAGCATATATCCAAGCTATAAAGGATATGTATGAAGGAGCAAAGACTGCCGTAAGAACTCATGAAGGACAAATCGAAAGCTTTCCCATAACTGTAGGATTACATCAAGGCTCATCCTTAAGTCCTTACCTTTTTGCGTTGGTAATGGATGAGTTAACAGGACATATTCAAGATGATATTCCTTGGTGTATGCTTTTCGCAGACGATATAGTGTTGATAGATGAAACTCAGGAAGGGGTAAATGCAAAGCTTAACATTTGGAGAGAAGTGTTGGAATCTAAAGGTCTTCGCCTAAGCCGATCAAAGACAGAATATATGGAGTGCAAGTTCAGTGCAAATGGAGGCCAAAACGAGTTAGGGGTGAGGATCGGAGATCAAGAAATACCAAAGAGCGATCATTTTCGTTACCTAGGATCTATCTTGCAAAAGAACGGAGAATTAGATGGAGATCTCAACCATAGAATACAAGCTGGATGGATGAAGTGGAAGAGTGCATCCGGCGTGTTGTGTGACCGCCGTATGCCACTGAAGCTCAAGGGAAAATTTTATAGGACGGCAATAAGGCCGGCGATGCTGTATGGCACAGAATGTTAGGCGGTGAAGCATCAACACGTACACAAAATGGGTGTAGCGGAGATGAGGATGCTTCGTTGGATGTGTGGGCACACAAGAAAGGATAAGATTAGGAATGAGGATATCCGGGGTAAAGTAGGAGTAGCCGAAATTGAAGGAAAGATGAGAGAAAATCGGTTACGGTGGTTTGGACATGTGCAAAGAAGGCCTACTGACGCTCCGATTAGAAGATGCGACTATGGGACAGAGGTTCAGGGCCGAAGGGGTAGAGGAAGACCTAGGAAAACTTTGGAAGAGACTCTAAGAAAAGACTTAGAGTACTTGGATCTAACGGAGGACATGACACATGACCGAGCACAATGGCGTTCAAAGATTCATATAGTCGATCCCACTCAGTGACTTGGATTTTCCAAGTCTCAAACCGAGAAGTTTTCCTCACTCGGGAAATTAAGGGAATACTACCTCAACCTACATGCTCCACTCACAAAGCTTCAACATACAAGCTTCAACAAAAGAAAATTCAGAGAACTTAGCGAAGAAGGCTTTGGTGTATTCAACACAATACGTTGAAATGAAGGAAAGCTATTTATTGATATCCCCGATAAGTCACAAATATGTACATATACATGAGTCAAAATAAACAAACAAGAGGGAGCCTTCACAAAGGTTGCTTAGGAGAAGTCTCAGCAGTCGGTAGAGCCCCAGAAAGAGCAGGCACTGGAAGGGGATCATTTGGAGCCTCAGTACTGGACAGAACCCTAGAAGGAGGAGGCAGCAGAGGTTGATCATTTGGAGCTTTCATTACGCGGTACAGCCCCAGAAGACGAAGGCAATAAATGCCTTTGGAACAAACCCACAAATCTCTGATGATCAAGTAAAACCTGACCATCAGATTCCTTCATTTGGTCAAGCTTCCTCTTCATGTTTGTAGCATAGTCATGTGCGAGCCGGTGCAACTGTTTATTCTCATGCTTGAGCCCTCTAATCTCCTGTTTGAGACTCATCACTTCAGCCGCCAATGATTCAACTTGGCGGGTTCGAGCAAATAGGCGTTGGGCCATGTTAGACACAGAACCTGCACACTGAACACTGAGAGCCAGAGAATCCTTAACAGCCAACTCATCAGACCGTTTGGAAAGTAGTCTGTTATCTTTGGGAGTGAGAAGGTTCCTGGCCACTACCGCAGCGGTCATATCATTCTTCATCACGGAATCCCCAACAGTAAGAGGACCAGTAGGGGAGACGAAGGATGGGCGCCATATGTTGTCTGGAGAAGGCGTGGCTGCCTCTTCAACAAGGTTCAAGTCAAAACGACGGTCGGAGGGGCCAGACATTTTCAAAGGTGTTGAAGAGAGAAGAGGTCGGACAAATCAAGATCTTAGAAGTGCAAGAATGAAGCTTCTACTGGTGGAGATTCAAGTGTGCTTTGGAACTTAATGCCAGCCTCTATAAAAATCTGCACTCGACGAAGCTTCAGAAATCGAAGAGGCGTTTGCTTTCTCAAAAGCTGGGCTGCTCAGAGACCACGAGACGTTTGCTTTCTCAAAAGTTGGGCTGCTCAAAGACCACGAAGGCCGATCTCAGAAATCAAAGAGGCGCTTGCTTTCTCAAAAGCTAGGCTGCTCAGAGACCACGAGGGCCGATCTCAGAAATTGAAGAGGCACCTACTTTTCCAGCCTTGTCAGCACCTGTCAGCTTTGCGGAAATTTTGGGCATTATGTCGAAGATTTCTGGTAAAGTAGAAAGCACATGAATCTTACTGTTCAATCACCCACTTCCCACACGCAACATTAGCTCATGGGTACCACAGATAACTTTGCCAAAGTTCTCTGACAAAGTTAAGACACGTGAAGCTTACAGCTCCCACTACACCGCTCTGACCAAGAAGGGTAAAAGAATAGCAAAGAAACAGCACTAACAAAGTTTAGACACATAAATTTTGAAGGTCTAGCTACCATATTATTACCCACAAGGGTAAAGGAACAGTACCACTGCTGGATAATTGGAAAGTCCCTGTGTGTCAACCTCTGTGCTTCGTGGCAAGATAGACTAGCAAACATGCCCAACCTTTTCTCACATTCGAGAAAACACTCCCAACAAGATTGCTTGCTCCAAAATCGAAGAGGCACCGCCCTTCGAATCTCGAGAGCCAGACTCCCAACATGATTACTTTCTCAAAAATCGAAGAGACACCGCTCTTCGAATCTCGAGAGCCAGACCCCTAGCAGGATGGCTTTCTCAAAAATCGAAAAGGCATCGTTCTCCGAATCTCGAGAGCCAGATCTCCGACTGGATTACTTGTTCGAAACCGAAGAGGCATCACTTTCCCAACTTCAAGAGCCGGATCTCCTTGGATAAAGCTTGTCTGTAATCTTTACACGCAACATCAGCTTTCCAGATACCATAGACCACTTTTTCAAAGTGCTCTGACAAAGTTAAAACATGTGAAGCTGGCAGCTCCCACTATCGTGTTATGACCAAGCAGGGTAAAGGAATAGCATTACTACTTGTTGTTAGGGAGACTCCTATATATGTTGACCTCCATCCCCAACAGACAGGCAGACCTGCAAAAATGCTCAACCCTTCCTCATATCTGAGAGGGCACTCCCAAAGAAGCCTTTCGAAATATTCAGCTTTTTTTCCCCCCGATAATACCTCTGCAAACAAGCTATACTAGAGCAAGAATATCTCATATCATCAGGGTTAAAAGCAAGAGTATCCCATATCATGTTTTTTCCCTGTCTTTTCCTTTGGCCTTGTTCTTACCTACAAGACAAGGAGAAAGAGAGCAATCAGTCAACACTTGGAATCAAGCTTCCAGTCAGGAACTGACTGCCTGGAACCCCTTACTTGATTACTTACCTGGCATTGCTCTCGAGTACTCATTTTCAACATCTTATGCTTTCAGGGAAGATACCGCATCTGCCTGAGGAACATATAGGGCAAGTGAGAAGGATACAAGGAAGCATGTGGAGACAAGCGTAACAGCACACGTGCCGATACATCCACTACTCTGTCAAAAGCAAAAGTATCCCATATCAGCAGGGTCGAACGTACTATAGATTTGATGGACTTGTTTTGACCCTCAAATTCTTCAGTCGGCCTTATACTCTGGAGGAAACCAGAAAACCCTCCAGCCCAGTTCAAGAATAAGCCTGTGGAAAGTTACTTCTTCAAAAGCAAAAGTATCCCATATCATCTCTTCTCATTTTTCTTCTCTTTATCCTTCATGCTGCCTACAAGATAGGGAGAATGTGAACAATCAGCCGGAACTCGAAATCAAAGTTCTGATCTGGGACTGATTGCTTGGAGCTCTGATTGCTTACCTTGTCTGTCACCTCTTTCAGCAGATCCTCTAGCTCGGCGACTTGGAGGACTCCTACTACATGGTTTGTATCGCGCTTGACCAAGCCCGAAACTACAAGTAAGCTTCAAGTGAAATTGATACATTACCTTGTGCATCTCTCCACCAGTTAAAGATACCACCCCTGGATGGAGGAAGAGTACTTCCAGAGAAGATGCCACATCTACCTACGAGACAGATAAGGCAAGTCAAGACGATACCACACTCCGGAACTTAGAAGTTTCGTGATTACGAGATCATTCTCCCACAATATTTCCTAATGTCATTTGTACTAAATCATTCACCTGTACTCACTAAAAGAGAGCTTGAACCTATGTACTTGTGTAAACCCTTCACAATTAATGAGAACTCCTCTATTTCGTGGACGTAGCCAATATGGGTGAACCACGTACATCTGGTGTTTGCTTTCCTATCTCTATCAATTTATATACTTATCCACACTAATGACCAGAGCAATCTAGCGACGATCACAAAAAGCGACCGTTTTCGCTACCTAGGATCTATCTTGCAAGAGAACGGAGAATTAGATGGAGATCTCAACCATAGAATACAAGCTGGATGGATGAAGTGTAAGAGTGCATCCGACGTGTTGTGTGATCGTCGTAGGTCACTGAAGCTCAAGGGAAAATTTTATAGGACGGCAATAAGGCCAGCGATGTTGTATGGCACAGAATGTTGGGCGGTGAAGCATCAACACGTACACAAAATGGGTGTAGCGGAGATAAGGATGCTTCGTGGGATATGTGGGCACACGAGAAAGGAGAAGATTGTGAATGAGGATATCCGAGGTAAAGTAGGAGTAGCCGAAGTTGAAGGAAAGATGAGAGAAAATCGGTTACGGTGGTTTGGACATGTGCAAAGAAGGCCTACTGACGCTCCGGTTCGAAGATGTGACTAAGGAACAGAGGTTCGGGGCCGAAGGGGTAGAGGAAGACCTAGAAAAACTTTGGAAGAGACCCTAAGAAAAGACTTAGAGTACTTGGATATAACGGAAGACATGACACAAAACCAAGCGCAATGGCGTTCTAGGATTCATATAGCCGACCCCACTTAGTGGGAAAAGGCTTTGTTGTTGTTGTTGTTTGTTGTTGTAGGTTAATACGGGCAGTGCTCAACTATAATATTATCAAAGTTTATGCTGTTGAAAAATATAGAATGATATGCATATCTATTGGTATTTGGTGGTCAAAATTAAGAAATCTTATTTAGTGTTGTTATCTATGCAGATTCTTGATGAAATGCCTGTATTTTACAACCTCAATTCTGTTGAAAAGCGTGAAGTTTTGGTCGCAATTTTGCAAATTGTACGGAACCTTGATGATTCATCACTTGTCAAGGCGTGGCAGCAGAGCATTGCTAGAACTAGATTGTTTTTCAAACTCATGGAGGAATGCCTTGTTCTATTTGAGGTTGCCTTTTATTAATTACTTGTGTAGGATATTTGGTTCCGTAGTTGATGATTTTTTACCTTCTATTCATTTTGTTAGGACTAAAAGTATGCTTTTGCTCTCATTTTTCAGGGTGTTCATTTTCTCATTCTTGAGATACTAGTTTAGTTCTTTTTGGAGGATCAATTTAGCTCATATTGGATTTTGTTCCGAGGCCTATTCTTTTTTGTCCATCTCTGCACATATCTCATTTTATGATCATAGATTCTTGAATTTGTTCACTTTGTGTTTCTTCCACAGTGAAAGGAATTATATAGAAAAAAATACTGTATTTTCCAATTTTTTATTTTATATAAATGCTCCAAGTAACACTAGTTGTATTTCATGTGTTTTACAGCACAGAAAACCTGCTGATGGCATGCTTATTGGATCTAGTTCTCGCAGTCCTGTTGTTGGCGATGCCCCTGCGTCCCCCAAGTATTCTGATAGACTATCCCCTGCGATCAACAACTATCTGTCTGAAGCATCTAGACAAGAAGTCAGGGTGAGTTAACTTTTCTCGTCCTTCTTATGAGGGAGTTTACAAGAGTCAAGAGTACACGATGAATATTGTTTTGCTTTCATTAGTAGTTTCATGTCTCATCTTGGAAGCATTCACTTTTATAACAACGAAACCAACATTTTCAAACGTTCCTCAAGAGTTTGGAATCTCTTTAATGCAGCCTCAGGGTACTCCTGAAAACAGTTATTCGTGGCAGAGAGTAAATTCTCAGTTAAGCTCCCCTAGCCAGCCGTATTCCTTGAGAGAAGCACTGGCTCAGGCACAATCTTCTAGAATTGGAGCTTCTGCTCAAGCATTAAGAGAATCTTTGCATCCAATATTGAGACAAAAATTAGTAAGTTTTGTGTAAGCATTGTGTGTTTGTTTGATTGCAGCATGAGCCCCATTTACATTCTGCAATA